CACAGGGAGGCTGCCAAAAATAAGGAGACAAAGAAACATGTCCCCAATGAGAGAACAGAACCAAACTCCAGGAAAAAACAAAAACAAAACAGAGACAAACAATATACTAAATACAGAGTTCAAAACATTGGTTATAAGGATGTTCAATGAACTTAGGGGAAAAGTAGATGAACTCAGAGAGAACCTGAACAGCATAAAAAAGGACATGAAGCCATAAAAAAAGAACCAGTAAGAAATGAAGGGTACGCTAACTGGAATGAAAAATAATTTACAGGGAATCAAGAGTAGAGTAGATAAAGCCAAGAATCAAATCAGGAATTTGGAATATAAGAAATCAAAATACATCCAATCAGAGAGCAAAGAGAAAATAAAATCCAAATAAATGAAGATTTTGGAGACAACTTCAAGTATACCAACATTTGCATCATGGGGGATGCCAGAATAAGAGAGAGAGCAAGAAATTAAAAACCTATTAAAAAAATAATGACAGGAAGGGTCCTTAACCTGGTGAAGAGAATGGACATACAAGTTCAGGAAGCACAGAGAGTCCCAAACAAGATAAACCCAAAGAGGCCCACACCAAGACACATCATAAGTAAAATGTAAAAGGTTAAAGACAAAGAGATAATCAATCTTAAAAGCAGCAGGAGAAAAGCAGTTAGTTACCTCCAAGGGAGCTTCTGTAAAACTGTAAGGTGACTTCTCAACAGAAACTTTTCAGGCCAGGAGGGACTGGCAAGGAATATTCAAAGTAATGAAAGGAAAGATTACTCTACCCAGCACAGCTATCATTTAGAATGGAAGGATATATAAAAGAGCTTCCCAGACAAGAAAAAGTTACAGGAGTTTGATCATTACCAAACCAGTATTACATGATATATTAAAGGGAAGAAGAAGGAAGGACAAAAGGGAGGGAGGGAGGGAAGGAAGGAGGAAAAAAAGGAGGAAAATAAGGGGAAGGAGGAGAGGAAGGGGAAAGAGAAGAGATAAAAAAAATATGAACAATAAAATAGCAAAAACTACATCCCTATCAACAACTGAACCTAAAAAACAAAATAAATGAATAGGCAGAACAGAAACAGACTGATAGATACAGAGAACATTTTGGTGGTTGCCAGATGGGATGGGAGGGGTGGAAGACTGGGTGAAAAGGTGAGGGGATTAAGAAGTACAAATAGGTAGTAATAGAATAGTCATGGGGATATATAGATAGGGAATACAGCATAGAGAATATAGTCAATAATATTCTGGTAACTACGCATAGTGTCAAGATGGGTGCAAGATCTATTGGGATGATCAGTTAGTCATACAATGTCTAATCACTGGGGTGTACACCTGAAAGTAATATATTATATGTAAACTGTAATTTAAAAATAAAAAAAATTTATAAGTTAAAGTACACAAAATAAAATTGCACTTATCTAGAAAGAATTCCATACTACATTAGTTCCTGTAATAAAAATTGAAATGCAAATAAAAACTTTGAAAAATTAAATTTTAATTGCTAACTTCCAATTACTGTTGATGCAATGAAACTACCAACTGAATTAAGAAATTACCCTCAGTTTAAGTTATGTCCTACAGAAAACTTGACTAGAGAGAACTCAGAACCAGTATGAATTTGATTTTCAAATTAAAAAGAAAAAAAGGGGATGGTTGGTAATACAACTTTATTGAACAGCAAATGCATATGATTAGAGCAATTTACTCTTAAAAGGAGGCACTATCTCCATCAAGAAAACAACCCCTAATCAACAGCTGAATGAATGATGTTAGTCCTTTCCCATTTTGCTGTTTCAGTGCCTTAAGTTCCACTTCCCTCCAATTCCCTGATGATGGGTGAGCCTAGCTCTGCTTCCAAGATAAACTGAAATTAGGATATAGGATTAAAAGCAAAAATAAAACCACCATTTTTTTTTTTTTTTGAAAAGCTTAAGAAGAACACAGTATTTCCCCAGTGCTAAAAACTGAATTCTAACAGTAATATTCTGCAGTGGCCAGTACTATCAAATCAGCTGCAAAAATGCTGTAGCTTGGCCCCGCTTCCTGTTTCTAGTGAACGCATTTTCCTGGTTATCTGAGTGCCTGCCTGGGAATGGAGCCCAGCCCTGAAATCCCAGTGTGGGAATTCAGCCTCACCAACTCTGATGAGATTATATGTTAGGCGCTGTTCTAAGTGCCAAATACAAGTAACTGCCTGACACAGATGAGTAGTGTTTACCCTCCAAACTCTTGATTTTGAAACATCCTGATAATCCTGCTAGTGCTTTCCAGGTAACCAATTTCTGGAATGTGACCAGGCTCATGAAACCCCTAAGCAAAGTTCTTTATTTATCTAGCTGAAGCCTTTCTATTAGCCAGCCTAAGCTGCTCTATTAAATGCCAAGATTTTGTCCTTCTTCATGTGATTTGCTCTGCTGAGAATCATGGGAGAAGTGATGTCTTTGGGGGGACTGACTGCACTGAGCTGAGTTCTGAAGTGCTGCTTCAACCGTGACGTGTTTTAGGACTGTGCTGTCCTGTATGGTAGCCACTAGCCACATGTCTATTCAACACATGAAATGTGGTTGATTGGAAATAGGCACTTTAAGTGTAAAATACATACTGTGTTTGAAAGAATCAGTATTTGGAGAGAGACTACATGTCTTATAATAATACATATTTGTTAAATAAAATATACTATTAGGTTCAGCTTTTTCTTCTCACCTTTTAAAATGTGGTTACTAGATAATTTAAAATTGCACATGTCATTTATGTTATATTTCTACTGAACTTTACTGCTTTAGAACATTTAACTAATGGTAGCAACAAGAGTCGTATTTTGAGAGAATGGTATATCTAGATATCACTAGAAAAATATTTTGAAAAGCTCCTTTGCAGAAAAACTGCCAGCTAATAAATGCTGAAGAAACGTTAGATTAGATTATCACCATTTTTCAATCTCCACTGGAATAACTGATTCAGATGAGCAACATCAATAGATGCTAAGACCACTGGGGGCAAAATTACACCCCACAGATTATTTATAAACTGCAGACAAGACCTGGTGATCTTTAACTGCTTTAACAAATGATCAAACTTAGCATATGAATAATGCTACAACTTGCCATTACATGCTTCTTGATATGTTGTAAGTTAATGTAACTTACCTACAAGTTAATTACCTACAAAGCATTTTGCCCCAATGTTTTATTTTGAAAATTTTCAAACATACAACACAATGAAAGAATTCATGGCAAAAATCTGTACTCATGCTGTCTAATATTTTACTACACGGTACTAACTTTACCAGATATCTTTCCATCTCCCTGTCCATTTTACTTTGATGCATTTCAAAGTAAAGTATAGCCATTAGACATACCCTCCCTAAATAATCTATGAAATATTCTTGCCAAAAATGTTTAACCTGAGTCTAATCAAGCCTCTAATCCTAACTTCCAATTTATAGGAAATACAAGGCTATAGAGGAATCAGCTAATCGACACTAAGAGAAAATTAAAGATCCAGAATATGGGACATTTTGTAATATGAAATGGCTTAAAAAGTACGAAAGAACTTTGAGTGACTTTGAGAACTTTAAGAGTCCTAAAAGACGTAACAAATTACAACTTGTCAACCTAAATGAGACAACTTGTCAATTTTTAAAAACTACAAAAGACATTACAACAAATAGATAAATGTGAATATGTATTGGATAGTTGATGATATTAAGGAATTGTTATTAATTTCCTTAGATGTGGTAATAGAAACTGCGGTGTGTAGGTGACCATCTTTTTTTGGAGATGAATGCTAAAGAGTGTGTGGCATGTGATACACACATATATATTTTTTTAACTTATTCATTTACTTATTTTATAGGAAAAAAGCAAATACAGCAAAATGTTAACAATTATTGATTCTAAGAGGAGGATAAACAGATGTTCACTGTGTTGGGCTTTCAACTCTTCTCAGAAAGTACACTGAAACATTTCAAAATAGAAAATTGGGGCTGATGGGCAGAAAAAAAATTCACTGCATAGAGGTTAATATGAGAGGCTAATATGGTCTCTTCTGCTTTGGCCTGCCTGGGCTTTTCAGGTCAAGAATGTGATCTTTGAAGAAATATCTTACCATAGGCATACACAAAAATATGTCTCTGTAACACTCTACTTCTACCTCAGAGCCAATGCTATTATTAGCTAAGAGTCTTCAATATGCAGTATTCCAACTGGTAGTTTCGTCTGTTAGCAAAGGTTTTCATGCTTTAGTATCACAGGAGATAGCTCGATCTCAAGGTTAGCTTGAGATCAGGCTCACTGTCACCAGCCTGTGTCACATGTAGATTAAGACAGTCTGCCACACAACTTCAGATTTTTTTAATATACCACTGGTTAAAAATATCTGGCAATAGAATTTGCCTCTTACTGGCAACCTCAGGGACAAAGGTTTCTGTGATCTTTTTCCTTAAGATTTTATTCTGCTTTCCAACCTACTGCTGCTCCTGAAGTCATCAGGACAGCTTCACCCTTAAGTCCAAAGACACACTCATTACCCAAGTAATTAGAATTATACACAGAAAATCATTAGCAGAGATCACTGAATATGGTGTAGCATGAACAAATAAAAGCATATTTCATACTACTAACTAAAACAAGATTTACTAAAGCAAACAAAAAAAAAAACTAGACACGGAATCTTATGTGTGTACCTATAGTTGAGGAAAAGAAAATCACCCATTAGCTTTCCCTCAGACTTTGGTTGAAATATCATATTACCTGGAAACAAAGAGGCGCCTTGAAGGTGGAAGTGAAAAAGACTAGATAATATTAGACACTAAACTAAATATGTACACAATTGGTACTTAGGTTTTACAGTGGAGAGTGTTCTTTGGCTTAAAGGAACAACAGCAAAATTTGGAACTATCATACCTTGGTGAAGACAAGGCAGCACAAGCATTCAGTAAAGTAATTAATTACATAAGTCTCATTTCACACGCAATGAAAAAAGGAAATGATATTTACCAGGGTTTGTCTTCTCAAGTTGATACCATCGGTAAAATGCCCTTTTCTTCTGTTCACTCAGGTCTGATCCCTGTTGCAACAGCCAGTGAGAGATCCGGCTCTGACTGATACCTATGTAGAAAGAGAAATAGCTGTTGCAAGTACTGAAATTATGGAGAAGTCAGGAAGGGTTCTGTTGGTCCTAGGTTACTGAGTTCTTTAAAACTCTTCTCTATAAGGAAGATGCAACTTGAACACTCTTTCATATTGGGTGTTTCTGTAAAGGCTGACTACATGGGCTAGCATATATTCAGAATTTATCTACTACAGGTCATAGCATTTTATTAACCAAGATTTGAAAGTGGTCTCTAAAATCAATCTCCAAACCTGTTCCACAAATATATGAGAGATACATGAAGAAATTTCTAAGTAATAACTATTTATCAGAAGTTGTTTAGATATATGGTCCTTCAACTACCACCACCTTTATTCCAATCTGGGTTTAGAATATTAGAACTTTTACTAGACATTGAGAAGACCAAAAAAAAAAAAAAATCAAGCCAATAATTTTGCTACTCATTACTGATACTGATAAAAAGAGTTAGGGGCTGGGAAAGGAGAGGTCACTGAAAATACTCTCTTCAATAAGGTTTTCGGCTTTAATTCATTTAGGCATTTCAGATTCATTACAATTAGTACAGATAACTAAGGATTGGAAGACTTTTAGAGTTCTGCTGTAATATGACCTCTTAAGAATTTTCAAGAGGTAAAGACAGTCTTTTAACAGACTTTCCAAAAAGCTGAGTAGAATATAAAGCAGTTTTCAGCTATCACTAGGAAGTTCTTGACAGCAATTAATTAGAAACGTGAAAAACCTTCACATGTGAAAGTAAAAGAGCATGTCTAAAAATCACAAGCTCCTTCTGCTCACTACAGCTATTCAAAAAATGAATACTTTAACACACAACTTACAAAAGCAAAGAAAAACAGGAGAAAGAAAACATATGGCCATAAGGCACTTTCTAAAGGACAACTCATCTCTCAGAGAGGGTTAACAAGTATCTAAACTCTCCCAAGGAATTACTTCTGGTAACTGGATAGTACTGAATACCACTTGTGCCAACACCTGTTTAAAACTATAATGCACCACAGGAAGAGTAGTTATCATGAAGTAATCATACCCCTTAACATGAGAAGAAATAGGAGGTTTGGTAATTACATTTAACTCATTAAAAGCAAGTCCCTAAAGTTTCATACTTTTTAAAAAACCTATGTTAGAGGAGAATTTGGAGAGGAGCTTTGTTAAAAGGTAAATTGGGCTGTGAAGCAAGGTTCTTAGATTGGAAACACCATTCACTTTTCACTAAAGAGTGAAATTTAGTTTTCCAAAACCTAAGTAATTGCATTCTCGAATAATGCGCACAGTGGTTTGCCAATGGACTGAAGATCTCTGTGATGCAGCTGCTGCAGCTAGCAGTGCATGCTTGTTCTAAGTGAATGCTGATTATTTAAAATTGTCTGTTTAGCAACGCCGTCACAAGTCTAGATTCAAACATTACACTAGTTTTAAACAAGAGTGAAGGAAACTATCATTTACTATTATGAAATCAAACTGATTTTCATGTCAACAAAATAAAACATTTTTATATGGATTCTTCATATTGGTAGCATACTACTCAAAAACAAAGAAAATTGGAGAAGACTATTTTAGGAAAGAATAGACTGTATTAGTTCTGTTACTTTCAGTATTAAGTCTCCCTCACACAGTCAGATCGAACAAACACAGAGCCCACCTGATATTAGTGCTGCCCAGGTTCGGGCTGTGCTGCAGTGGGGGACCAGTGCGAAAGCCCATAAAAGAAAGGCAGTTAAATTATGGCATACTCACATAATAAAAAACTGAGCAGACTTTAAAAGTGATGCTCTAAGTCAGCCACCAAAATCAAACAACAACCAAACAAAAATCCATCAATACCAAGTGCTGGCAAACACATGGAATATATGAGCTCTCCTACTGCAGATGGAAGGGTAAAATGTCAGGGCCACTTTAGGAAACAGCTGGGCAGTATCTACTAAAGCTAAATATAAGCACATCATATGACCTAGCAGTTTCTTTCCTCAGCATATAGCACACAGAAATATGTATGTGCTCAACAGCAATGTGTTCTGAAGACATATACAAGAAGGCTTATATGAGTATTATGCATAACAGTCCCCAATTTGAAACAACTCAAATACCCATCAACAGAATGCATAAACTGGGCCCTGGCTAATATGGCTCAGTGGACTGAGTGTCAGCCTGTGAACCAAGGGTTGCCAGTTCAATCCCCAGGTAGGGCACATTCCTGGGTTGTGGGCCAGGTCCCCAGTGGGGGGCACGTGAGAGGCAACCACACATCGATGTTTCTCTCCCTCTTTCTCCCTCCTTTCCCCTCTTCTAAAAAGAAAATCTTAAAAGAAAAAGAATGCATAAATTGGGATACTTAAGCATTCTATTATAGACTACTATACCAAATAGAAAAAGGACAAACTACTGCCATATGTAACCACATGGATAAATCTCACAAAAACAATGTTGCCCCTCCAAAAAAAAAAAAAAAAAAATCAGACACATACAAAAGCCACATACAGCTGTATGATTCAGTTACATACTATTGAAAAACAGACACAATGACCTACATGAATGGCCATGAGAACAGTGCTGGATTACCTACGGCTCGAGGGGAGCAGGTTAGTCACTGGGAGGCAGTGTGAGGAAGGCTTATGCAGTGACCGGCACTGCTCTTTATCTGGATCTGGACGGTGGTTATACGCATGGCTTCACTTTGTAAGCAGCATTAAGCTAAACACTTTTCTCTATATATATTTCAATTTATAAAAATTTCCCCCAAAAGTTTTTAAAATTCTACGTAGTATTTAAAAAATAAATTAAATGGATATGTATTAATATGAAAAGATGCCCATGATATAAATGACAAAGTATAGGTTTATAAGTACATATTTACATAATCTACATTCTTTTGTATAGTAACAAAACCTTACATACAGCCAAAGATAGTAGAGTGGCAGACTCCTGCACTGTAGACTCTATATTGTTTTCTTAATTGCTCTACAAATATGTATTAATTTATTTTATATTTAGCCTACTCTAATAAACACTACATATTTTATTGGTTTTATAAACACTGCAATTAAGTTAAAAAATGGAGTACAAAAAAGAAGTTAATTTCAGCCTTACCTCAGCAATTCCACTCTGAGGAAGCACCGTTAACTGTTAATATACGTTGTTCCATAATTTTCTCTGTGTAATTATTAATTTAATAAAGCAAAGGGACAGAGGGTAATAGAGAATATCCTTCTGTCTGGTCTTTTGTGTGAAAGGAAATAAAAAAGAACTTCTTTCCTGTAAACTTAATCCATTTTCATATAATAAATATAGAAAACAAACCAATTCAGCAAGTAGTTTTTCCAGAAGCATGATAAAAATTAAATATGTAAAATACACATTTTTTCCAATGGTTTTTCTCAGTTACCAGCTTGGTGATAGGTAGAGTTCTTTGAACTCGTCCTCTTGGGGCCGCTCCAAGCTTCTGGACCTTTGGGTGAGCTTGGTGTCAAAGGGTCCTGACGCTTCTCTCCGGGGTCAGTTTTTGTATTTCTCCTTGGGAAAAAGTTTTCCTAACTCTCCTCTTACTTCCTACTTCTGAAAAAAAAAATTCTCCACAAGTTTTAGCTCTTCAAACCCTCTTTTCTACCTTTCACAAGGCAGAAAAAAAGACAATTTACATACAACCTTCATACACTAAGAAACTGAAACTAACCCCTGATTAATTTATTTCCATTAAGAAAGTGATCACATTGTATCCAAAGGACAAAAAACCTTTTTGCCAACATCATTCACCTTCTTTCCTGAGCCCTATCAGGCTTTTTCCAGCTCAAATGCCACACTCCCTTCCACTAGAGGGCTCCCCACCACTACCCATTTTTGTCAGAGTCTCAGTACAAATTTAAATGCATCTTCTTCCTTCCACTTCCTGTGGAATGTGACACTATTGACCACTCATATCATCTTCATCCATGGAATGCTGGAGACAACTCTCCAATGCAACTTCAGGAATTGCTTTGCTAGCTCCTTATGTGTTAGTGTCCCTACAGTTGCATCTTTAAGCATCTTCTCTCACTCTACACTCTGCCATGGTCATCTCAACTATCAACAATCATAACTGAAAATATCATCTACATGTCAGAGCTCCAGACTGCTGTTTCAAACCATTTGCTAGTTAGCTTCATGTGAATTTCTCACAGGTCTTTAACATAGTAAATTTAATTCATTAACCTTTTCCTTTTAATCTGCTCTTATTCCTGTGTCCCCCATCTCAATTTTACCTTCTAGTCTACTCTGTTCCCTCAACTCTCACATGCTTATACTAAATCCAAACTTTCTCTTCCTAAAATTCTTGCCACTCCTCATTCCTGCAGCTTGGAATCTCAGCCTCTTTTGCCTGGATGACTGAAAAAATTGATTAAAAGGAGCCAACTAAGATTCGAAATTCTCCTGATCAGATTCTTTTTAACTGGAAGGTCATTTCATGGTTGAAAAAGTGAAACGTGCTTCTTCAAGCAACTTTCTACTTGAGAACTACAGTCATCTCTACAGTTCACCTTTCGCCATTTTTAAGTTAAAACACACGTATACATTTTCCACAAAAAAAATTCACCAACGCTTCATCCTCAATCCTTCTCTTATTCCCTATCCTAAAGGTATTCTTTTTTAAAAAAAATTTTTGTTTTGTCACTGTATTTTGTTCATTAGATTCACACAGAAGTGAGATATGGTATTTGTCTTTCTCTGACTGGCTTATTTCATGTAGCATAATAATATTCAGATTTTCAGGTCTAACCATGCTATTATAAAAGGTTTCCTTTTTTTTATGGCTTTTGGTTTTTTTATGGCTGAGCAGTATTCCACTGTGTAAATGTACCACAGCTTTTTTATCCACTCATCTACTTATGGACACTTGGGTTGTTTCCCAATCTTGGCTATTGTAAATAACACTTCAATGAACACAAGGGTGCATATATTTTCTCAAATTAGTGTTTCAGGTTTCTTAGGATATATTCCCAGAAGTGGA